CATTGTGAAAATATTTCCTATTTTAAAATACCTTTTCATAATATGTGTAATAAATTTGTGGATCCCCTCTGCAGAGAGACCACTTTCAAGCTTATTAATAACATTGTACCAACGAATTTTTGTTATTTTTTATAGGACCAGTCAAAGTCCAAATTTTGCAATTTTTGTAGAAAATACCCAGAGACTCAAAATCATTTATTTTATTATTGCAGTGTTGTGCAGTTTTTATGGAGAATAGTTCGTAATTGGGTTGTTGATCTTAGTTTGGGTGAGATTGATCTCAATGTTTGGCACGTTATTTTTAACGATATCCCACAAAAGAAAGGAAAAGTTATCCACGACATTATTTTATTGGTCGTTGCTTTGGCTAGACGGCATATTTGGACTTATCGCTGTGATGCAAAATTTAAAAACAAGACCGTCTCTCCATCTGGGTTAGTATTGGGATATTTGGAAAAGATCAAAATTAGAATCTGGGCGGACCGGGTCCGACTCAGTGAAACTTTGTTTAAAAGTTATTGGCTTAACCCTGGTATGTTCTGATCTCTCCACAAAAGCGATAAATTAAAATTTTTAATTGATTAGTTTTTGTCACCAGCCATGAATAATATTGATATAATTTTATATTTCTTTCAATTACATAGTATATTTTACATACATTTATTCTCAGATTCAATTCTGCTGATTTTCATCTTTGCTTTGTGTTATTTTGTTTAACACTTTTGTGACTTTTATAATCATTAATTTATTTTTCTATAATTCAGCTGTGTTATCAGGTTTAAAAGATGTCAATATTAGAATATATTATGTGGCATATATATATTTGATGTAAATAATTGTGTACAATATTTTGAGATTATTGATTTGATATAACTATTTATTTATTATTATATTTCGGGGAAGGGAGGGTTTGATGTTCCCAAATGTACAGGCCTAGGGTGGAGCAGACACTTTATTTAGAAATTAGGATTAAGGGTCTTGATATTGGGTTTTCTTCTGTTCTTATTCTGATCTGAAATTAGAAAAAATAACTCTAACGAGAAGTATAGAATCTGTTATGTACTGATTGTTTTTAGTTTACTATGAACAATATTATCATTTAAGTTCTTATTTTTTGAATATCTCTTGAAGGCTCTTATAGTGGGCATGAACCATCTTGCTTGCTCGATTGCTGGTTGTATTAAACGGGACAACAAAGGGTGCTATGCCTACATTATGATGAATATTTAGTCCTATAGGTCTTGCTGTATTCAATGTCTCAATCCAATGGGCCTCCCTAGATTGACGGAATTTGGTAGTTTCATCTTCGGGCAAGTCAATTTCTATACGCTCAATTGGGATTAGGGTGAGATCGTCTATTGAATGGTCGTCGAGGTTGAAATGATTAGAAACAGGCTTGTCTTACTTTAATTTGATGTCTGACCTATGAGCATTAAAGCGAGTTCGTAAATTATTCTTAGTTTCTCCTACATATTGTTTGGGGCATTTCTTGCATGAAATTAAATATATTACATTCGA